TTTCTCTTTGGAGAATGAGCTGGGATGCAGTTACTTTTTGTGCTGGAAGTATATGCTTTATGTGACTTCTGTGACTTCTGATTGTATTTTAAAAAGTTAAACTTCATTTTAAGAGATTTTTCTTTCTGGCATTTACTCAACCACCTTTTAAAGAGGTATTCCTCTCGAACATAGCATTTATTTATTTCTAACTACTGCAAAATTTGCTTCTGTTTTAATGTTTTGCCATAGATTCATTTTGGTTTTTAATTAGTTTTTATGAACTGTATGACTTTTTTCTATCTTTCTAGAAGAAAGGGCATATTTATACCATGATCTGAGTATTCTGGAGTAAGCTTTTTTGAATTTTCTCGCTGAATTATTTTTGCAAAATCAGCAAGATACTAGCTTGTCTTCTTTTAATGTATGTAAATTAATTAGAGGTGCAACAGACAATCATAGTAAAGATGGTGCCAGATCTCTTTACTGCAGTGAAAGCATGCTATTTGACAATAGATAAAATGCTGACTAAATAGATATGTAAGTGCTGTACAACACAAATAAATAAGAAGGTACTACTTACTGGAAAGTTAAAATGTCTTAGGAGTAATAGACAATGTTATCTTTAGGATTTGAGATATTCATTGCATTTTCCCCCTTCTGAAATACCTAATTCGGTTTGAGGTTTGAAAGCAGATTTTTTTTTTTAAATTCATGCAAATAAGTAATTGTGTGGTGCCAGAGCACCATCTTAAAAAGTTACACATTTATTACTTTAGCATTACACATTTATTATTTTAGCAAAGTGCAGTTGTAAGCAGGCTTGTTCATTTCCACAGGCCCTTTTCCATCAAGATACTTAATTATAATTCATGACTATGTTTTACCTTTTTAGTAGTCACATTGATACCAGTTAAAGAGAACCTTGCTGGACTGGGAAAGTTCCTTGTTTACTGCACGTAATTGGTTTGATAATACTCGGCCATTATCCATAAAATATGCTTTGTCACTTAAGAATTACACATAAGGAGGAGAGGAATCGGATCTGAATATAACTCTAAAGCAGGAAAAAAGGAACTTTACATTGAGAGCTAATATTGGCATATATAATATCAGGAACAGTATATGTATACTGCCTGTGTAATATGTTGTATGCAAACATGTTAATCATGTTTTTTCATTTCAAATGCTTTTTCATTTATTGACTCTGATAGCAGAAGATGGGAAAACTTAATGAAACATAAGGAGATGAGGGCCTCTGACATTCAAAAGAGAAAAGAATAATCACAGAATCACAGAATGGCACAGAAGGGACCTCGGGAGATCATCTGGTCCAACCGCCCTGCTAAAGCAGGTTCACCTAGAGCAGGTTGCACAGCCCCCAGGCGGGCTTTGAATATCTCCAGAGAAGGAGACTCCACAGCCCCCCTGGGCAGCCTGTTCCAGTGCTCTGTCACCCTCAGAGTAAAGAATCATAGAATCATAGAATCGCTTTGGTTGGAAAAGACCTTTAAGATCATCGAGTCCAACCGTTAACCTAA